AGTGCTGGGCACGCGATTGGTGAGGACGCGGGCAACGGCCTAGGCCTTGTAGGCCTAGGATTGGCGGGAGCGGACGCGCGAGGAAAAGTCGGCAAGGACGAGGCGCGCAGCGAGCGCGCGAGTATTGGTAACGCGGGCGCACACCTATGCGCGGGAGGCATAGGCGAGAACGGCACGCACGCGCGCGAGGAGTCTGGGCGCGGTACTGGGCGCACGCATGGGCGCGCGTGCGAGGCAGGCGCGCAAGAGTCCCAGTCCGCGGAGGAGTGCGAGACGCACGCACACGCGTGTGACGCGCGAGATGAGGCGGTGGGAATTTGAGGTGGCCGAGAGTTTTTGAACATGTGGGATTTTAGGGAGCATTCTAGAATTGCTTGGTGTGCAAGCCAAGCAATAGTTATTTGGTAGCTTTAGGATTTTATTGCTTTCTAGAGTTAGGATTTATTTTATTGCATAGAATAGGAGATGTAGATCTATTAGGCTTAGATTTATTTTGCACCTATAAATACCCATGTACCTCTTCATTAATGAACATGTTGAGTCTTGGAATTGATGAGTGAATCTCATAGGGGGAACTTGTAGTTCTTACGTGTGTTTAAACAAGGTCGTTAGTGCGTGTTTACATACAGTGTCGGAGAGAAGGCCATTAGAGCATCTTGAAGTCACGGTATCTAGGAGAAGGCCGTAGTGCGTCTGTTAGAAACACCTATCGTGGATAAACGAAGGCCCTGAGTGCGCCGTTTGTTCACACCCAACGTATAAATAACAACACCGATCAGCGGTCCTTCATCATTGGTGCTTTCATTGAGAGGTGCTGATCGTGTTTTTATTTATCCTATCTTTTTCTTTTTTTCGGTTTGCCTTTTGCTGAGGGACCGAATTTTTGTTATTTTTTGGTCGAAATTTTCGAATTAATTTCGAATTTTTCAATTTTTTTCGTGTCTTAAAAAAACAAGTGTCATCTTGTTAGTCCTTTGTTTGATTTTTGTTCGGTTATTACCTTTTGTTGAGGGGCCGAATTTCTCTCGTTTTATTTTTTATTTTAGTTCGAATTTTTAGAGTCAAAAAAAAAAAAACAAAAACAAAAACAAATCATGTTGTTCGAGCCATTAGTTGAGTGGGATCAAGAGGATCTCGAATATCTCGAAAATTTGGAAAGGGAATTAACCCCTTGGGAACAAGATTATTTGGAAGAGTTGTATGAGCAAAAGGAGAAGTACGGGCGTCAACTCATGGAAGCCCGAGAAGCAATGGTGATCGATGCTCATGACCACGAAGAGGAAGGTGCGCTTAATTTCTTAATCCTTGAGGACAAGGAAAGTCTCGAAGAGGAGGGGAATGATACGGAAGTGGTCATCAACCCAGGCGAGTCGGAGGATGAGGGTGGCGATGGTCTTGATATTTGGTTGGAAAATATGTTGGAGGAGCAATCTAGTCCTATTTACCGGCCATCATGTGTGAGGGATTGGCCAAAAGGTTGTGGCCCAAAGCTGAAGTCAAAGGTAAGGAAACGGACGGCCAAGAGGCAACGCAAGGCAAGGGCTCGAAAAGCAAGTCAATGTAGGTGCTTGCCTTGTGCAAAGAAAAGACGAGCTCAAAGGAAGGAGGCTAAAAGGCGTGGTTTGCGATGGGTTAAAAATGGATGGCGGATACCGGTGGACGATTGTGAGAGGTTGAAGGGTTGGGACCCATGGCCCGAACCAACGGTGACGATCGTCGACGAGAAGGGCGACGGCGAGCGGCTAATAGACGAATGGCGCGCATCGGCCCATGATGCACGCGGTTGGACGGAGCAGGATGGTGTACGCGGGAGTTCGGTTGGCGGGCGAGTCGTGGACGTCGACTAGGACGCGTTGGCGTTCGGTGGCGTCACGGCGGGGCGCGATAGGCACGCGGGTGAACAGTCCACTGGCGGAGGAGGTGCGTGCAACGCAGCGGGCGCACGGGGATGCGCAGGAGGTGATCGGAGCCCGCGGGTGAGGGAGGCGACGCGCGGAGCAGCGGACGCGGTAGGGTGCGCCATAGGCGATTGGGGCGCGGACGGTGGCCGAGACGCGCGGGGCCTGGGCAGCCAGGACGCGGAGAGCGTTGGGCACGCGATTGGTGAGGACGAGGGCAACGGCCTAGGCCTTGTAGGCCTAGGATTGGCGGGAGCGGACGCGCGAGGAAAAGTCGGCAGGGACAAGGCGCGCAGCGATCGCACGAGTATGGGTAACGCGGGCGCACGCCTATGCGCGGGAGGCATAGGCGAGAACGACACGTACGCGCACGAGCAGTCTGGGCGCGGGACTGGGCGCACGCATGGGCGCGTGTGCGAGGCAGGCGCGGAAGAGTCCCAGTCCGCAGAGGAGTGCGAGACGCACGCACACGCGTGTGACGCGCGAGATGAGGCGGCGGGAATTTGAGGCGGCCGAGAGTCTTTGAACATGTGGGATTTTAGGGAGCATTCTAGAATTACTTGGTGTGCAAGCCAAGCAATAGTTATTTGGTAGCTTTAGGATTTTATTGCTTTCTAGAGTTAGGATTTATTTTATTGCATAGAATAGGTAATCTAGATCTATTAGGCTTAGATTTATTT